AATAGAATGACCAGGGAGATTGAAGTGTTCACTTACTGGCTTTTGTATGTTACCATTCCTGAAGTCCGATTTGTCCATTTATTCTTTTGCGGAGGGACTGTCCGGTTTGGCCAATGTACATGGCAGAGGGGCATTGCTGGCACATGATGGCATATATAACATTAGTAGATGTGCAGGTGAATGAGCCCTTGATGGTGTGGCTGATGTGGTTGGGTCCTCTGATGGTGTCGCCAGAGTAGATATGGGGACAGAGTAGGCAACGAGGTTTGCTACAGGGATTGGTTCCTGGGTTGGTGTTTCTGTGGTGTGGTGTGTAGTTGCTGGTGAGTATTTGCTTCAGGTTGGGGGGTTGTCTGTAAGCGAGGACTGGCCTGCCTCCCAAGGTCTGTGAGAGTGAGGGATCATTTTCCAGGATAGGTTGTAGATCGTGGATAATGCGCTGGAGAGGTTTTAGCTGGGGGCTGTATGTGATGGCCAGTGGTGTTCTGTTATTGTCCTTGTTGGGCCTGTCCTGTAGTAGGTGATTTCTGGGTACCCGTCTTGCTCTGTCAATCTGTTTCCTCACTTCCCCAGGTGGGTATTGTAGTTTTTAGAATGCTTGATAAAGATCTTGTAGGTGTTTGTCTCTGTCTGAGGGGTTGGAGCAAATTCAGTTGTATCTTAGGGCTTGGCTGTAGACAATGGATCGTGTGATGTGTCTTGGATGGAAGCTGGAGGCATGTAGGTACGTATAGCGGTCAGTAGGTTTCCAGTATAGGGTGGTGTTTATGTGACCATCACTTATTTGCACTGTAGTGTCCAGGAAGTGGATCTCTTGTGTGGACTGGTCCAGGCTGAGGTTGATGGTGGGGTGGAAATTGTTGAAGTCCAGGTGGAATTCTTCAAGGGCCTCCTTTCCGTGGGTCCATATGATGAAGATGTCATCAATGTAGCGCAAGTAGAGGAGGGGCACTAGGGGACGAGAGCTGAGGAAGCGTTGTTCTAAGTCAGCCATAAAAATGTTGGCATACTGTGGGGCCATGCGGGTACCATAGCAGTGCCACTGACTTGAAGGTATAAGTTGTCCCCAAATCTGAAGTGGTTGTGGGTGAGGACAAAGTCACAAAGCTCAGCCACCAGGCGTGCTGTGGCCTCATCAGGGATACTGTTCCTGACAGCGTGTAGTCCATCCTCATGTGGAATATTGGTGTAAAGTGCTTCTACATCCATGGTGGCCAGGATGGTGTTTTCTGGAAGAACACCAATGCATTGTAGTTTCCTCAGGAAGTCGGTGGTGTCTCGAAGATAGCTGGGAGTGCTGATAGCGTAGGGTCTGAGGAGAGAGTCCAAATAGCCAGATAATCCTGCTGTAAGAGTGCCAATGCCTGAGATGATGGGGCGTCCAGGGTTTCTGGGTTTATGGATCTTGGGTAGCAGATAGAATACCCCTGGTTGGGGTTCTGGGGGTGTGTCCATTTAGATTTGTTCCTGTACTGTAGCTGGGAATTTCTTGAGCAGATGGTGTAGTTTCTGTTGGTATTCCTCAGTGGGATCAGAGGATAGTGGCCTGTAGAATGTGGTCTTGGAGAGTTGCCTGGCAGCCTCCTGTTCATAATCCGACCTGTTCATTATGACTACAGCACCTCCTTTGTCAGCCCCTTTGATGATAATGTCAGAGTTGTTTCTGAGGCTGTGGATGGCATTGCGTTTTGTATGGCTGAGGTTATGGGACAAGTGATGTTGTTTGTCCACAATTTCAGCCTGTGCACGTCTGCGGAAGCACTCTATGTAGAGGTCCAGTCTGTCATTTCGACCGTCAGCTAATTTAGGCTGTTTTCTATCCTTTGTACTTATCAGCTACAACAATGAAAATAAGTTGATTTCAGCCTCTTTCTCACACCTTAGATCAAGAAGAGGACTGGGAAACAGGAGACACGTGTTGTGTCAGTAATCCTGTTGCTGTAACAGACGTGTTTGTGATCTTGAGCAAGTTCCCTGACCTCTCTGAACTCAGGTTTCAGAGTAGCAGCCGTGTTAGTCTGTATCTGCAAAAAGAACAGGAGTACTTGTGGCACCTTAGAGACTAACAAATTTGTTGCTCTCTGAACTCAGTTTACTCATTTGTAAAAAGGAGCTAATACAAGAGAGGCCAGGTGATCCAGTGGTTAGGACACAAGCTAAGCCTTAGGACACCTAGGTACAAGCCCCAGCTCTACTACAGACTTTCCTATGTGACCTTGGGCCAGTCACTTAGGCCCAGCTCCTCAAAGGTAGTTAGGCTCCTAATTTCAATTGAAAGCCATGGGAGTTAGGAGCCTAACTACCTTTGAGGATTTGGGCCTTGGCCTTAGTCTCTCTGGGCCACAATACCCCATCTGTACATGAGAAGAATAGCTCTGCCCTACCTCACACAGATGATGTGGGGGGTGTACATCAAAAATGGTGAGACACTCAGGTACTGTAGTTATTGGGGTCATATCAATTAGATAGATATTCTCACATGGGTGCAGTGAGATGTGTGTAATTAGGCTGAGATTTTCAAAGCTGCCTAATGATTTGGATGTCCAATTTTAATGTGAATTGGGTGTCCAAACCCATTAGGCAGCTTTAAAAAGCTTCAGATGTAATGCTTATAAAGTGTATTTGAGATTGTTGGATGCAGGTGTGTTAGAACTGGTTGTGTTATCTTCAGTTCCACTTTCTGGTTCTCAATCACTAGTAGAATACTGAAATGTTTGTTGCATTCAACATTTTTTCATGAAAATATCTGTTAAATTTGGAAAAACAACGAGGAGTACTTGTGGCACCTTAGAGACTAATAAATTGTTTTGTTTATACAGACTAACATGGCTGCCACTCTGAAACCTGTTAAATTTGGGGTTTTTTGTTTTGTTTTTTTAATGAAACCTGAATTTATCTCTTTGAATGACAAAGTATTATCTGCCAGTGAGGATACCTGAACTTAGCAATTATGTCCCCTAAGATGGCACTCTGTAAGATGGATCCTGATGGCAGGTTTTCATTTATACAAAAGTGAAGAACTAATCAAACTTCCCTAAGATGGGAGAATAAATACCTTAAACTCACTCTGTATGACTACTTTCCCCCCAGATTCATTATTCATCTATTCAAAATTGCCACACCTGAATAAAATAGTAAACTCCAGTAAAAAAACAATATTAGTTACTTATAACTAAGACTTGGTCTACACTTACCCCCCAAGTCGAAGTAAGGTACGCAAATTCAGCTACGTGAATAACGTAGCTGAATTCGACATACCTTACTTCGAACTTACCGCGGTTCAGACGTGGTCCACACGCGGCAGGCAGGCTCCCCGTCGACTCCGCGGTACTCCTCTCATTGAGCTGGAGTACCGCAGTCGACGGCGAGCACTTCCTGGTTCAATTTATCGCGTCCAGACCAGACGCGATAAATCGAACCCGGAACTTCGATCCCCAGCCGTCGAACTACCCGGTAAGTATAGACCAGCCCTAAGACTTCCATTGTTTGGCTAAAATGGATTTTTACCTGAAGAAATTATAAAGTGGCCTCAAAGGCTGGGGAGGGGGGAACGAAGTTCCCCCACTAAAAAATGTTTTCCTCTACTACCACATTTTAAAGACTGCGCCACATCCTGTTTTTAGTTTTGCTCTATTCCTCCTTAACCTGATATGAAAGGAATCAGGAGCAGCATGAATATTATGAATTAATATCTGGCAAATTTTGATTTCTAAAGAGAAAGATGATGGCTCATTTTGTTTGTCATTTGCCAAAACAACTCCAGTAGTCTATTATATACTGATGCTTGATGTTAATGACAACAATTGGTGTTTATGCTACAATAATGCTCATGGATACCCGCAGAGGTGATGTTTATATCAGGACAATAACTTGTGTTTCACTAGCAATTATGCTATTGTACTGGATAAAAGAAATTAAGGGCTGGAATCAGGGCAATTTAGGTTTCTAGGATATAGCTCCCCATGAAGAAGAGAAAACAGCTGTGGTGTGAATTTAAGTCGAAGATGAGCAGCAAGGGTAGAATAAAAAGCACCTAGCAATTTTAATTAATGTTAAATGTATTTAACTAACCAATGAATATTAAGGAATTTGTAAAAAAAAAAAAAGTGATTTCATCTCCTGAAAACAATGTAAAGGTGTAAATTACATACCAGTATAGCTGATTTTCAACATGAGAAAGCAGTGGAAAAGCGCTATCAAACCAGATAATTCCAGGGAAGGATGAAGCATCCTTTTCACTTCCTTTTATTCTTATAATCACCCTTATAGTGCCAGGTCTATACAGGTACTTGTAAATACAGTTTGACTTTATTTACAAGTGTTTAAGGTTTACCAAAGAAAACAGTTGGGTTCTCGCTTTGTTGGCACAGAAATAAGAAGGCATCGATATAGAAAATCTTTTAAAATCATGGAGCTAGATATTGCTTAACATAACAGAGCAGCTGTCTGAATGGATTTTGTGTCCGTGTTAATTTCGAGCTAGATGGCGCTACTAGCCCTGTACACTTCTAGGTACATTACTCATTTGTTTCTTTCCCTCTCGTCCCTCGTCCGTCCCCCCCCGGCCCAAATTACAAATAAATAAAAGGAAACCTCGTGATGTGCTGATGGTCGGAGGGATTCGAGTTCTCTCCCCCTCCCCCGCGCGCCCACAGAGCTCCCTGGCAGGAACAATCTGTAGGAGGAAAAATGTGACCAGGAGCAGAACGGTCTGTGGCAACTTTGCTCCGCGTTGCACTTTCGGTAGTGCCGCCCCAGGCGGGATGCGCTGCCCCGGCACGGGCTAAGCTAGCGCTGTGCTGCCCGCCGGCGGAGCCTCGCTGGCCATGCCGGGGCTGGGCGGACTGTTACCGCTGTTCCCTGGCAACCGGCCGCGAGGCGAGGCTGGCAGGGCGGCACGCGGCGGCTCGCGCGCAGGACCCAGGCAGTGGCAACCCCCCTCCGCACGTCGCGCCGGTTAGCTGGACGCCAGCCGCGCCGATTGCCAGCCTCTCCGGGGAGGGGCGCCCCCCAGCAGACCTGGATGAATGAAGCCCCGGGGCCCCGCCTCCTCTGCCTTATAGCTCGGCGGCTGGCCCCTTCGGCCCACTGAGCCTGAGCTCCCCGCCATGGGCTGGGGCAGCGCGGCCGCGGCTGGGCTGCTGCTGCTGCGGCTCCGCTCCCGCGCCAAGCCGGCGGCATGACGCCCCCCCAGCTCTGTGTGTGGGGCCGCTTCAACCGCACCGCTGCCAGCATGTGGGGCGGTGCCGGCGCCACGCGGGAAGCCGACAACGGCACGGCGCGCCCCGCGGAGGGATGCGGCTCGGTCTCGGTGGCGTTCCCCTTGAGCATGATGCTGACGGGCACGGTGGGCAATGCCCTGGCCATGCTGCTGGTGTACCGCACCTGCCAGAAGAAGGAGAACACGCGGAAGAAGTCCTTCCTGCTGTGCATCGGCTCCCTGGCGCTGACCGACCTCGTCGGCCAGCTCCTCACCAGCCCCGTGGTCATCGCCGTGTATCTGGCCAGCAGGAACTGGCAGGAGTTGGACCCCTCGGGCAACCTGTGCGCCTTCTTTGGGTTCTGCATGACTGTCTTCGGCCTCTGCCCCCTCTTCATCGCCAGTGCCATGGCCGTAGAAAGGACCCTGGCCATCAGAGCGCCTCACTGGTACGCCAGCCACATGCGAACCAGGATGACCAAGACTGTCTTGCTCAGCATCTGGCTGGCAGTGTTTGCCTTTGCCCTCCTGCCCATAGCTGGCTTAGGGCAGTACACCCTGCAGTGGCCCGGCACCTGGTGTTTTATCAGCACCGGGGACAACCACGGTGTGGGCAACACCTTCTTCGCTTCAGCCTTTGCCTTTCTGGGACTTTGCTCTCTGATCGTCACCATGGCATGTAACTTGGCCACGATCAAAGCTTTAGTGGCTCGGTGCAGGACCAAACCCTCAGCATCTCAGTCCAGCAAGCAGTGGGGGAGAATCACCACGGAAACACTGGTCCAGCTGTTGGGGATCATGTGTGTTCTCTTTGCTTGTTGGTCACCACTGTTGGTAGGTTATCTTTTAATTTGCTGTGTGATATTGCTAACCCCACAGCATTCTTTTACAGAGAATGGGGGTGACGGTTACAGTACTGTGGAGGGGGGGGAGGCAAACCTGTCACATCCAACTCCCTAAAACATTGTCTTTGTGTCCCCCCAACTTTCAGCCTGCTTTGTAGGGGAAATAAGCAAGTGGAGGGGGACACACCCTGTTGAAGAGAATTGAGTAGGAGGATACAGGTATAAGGGGATCCCTTGGTGAGAGGTACAGGGGATAGGAGTAGGTGCAGGGCACGGTATGTATGGGAGGACCTCTTGGGATGGGGAGCTGAGGATGGGGTGTGGACATATACAAGGGGACTCACCCTGGAGAGCTAGTAGAGCTGGGGGTGACCTGTATGAGGGTCGCTTGAGGAACTGACCAGGGATGAGTGTGATATATGGGACAAACTCCCCTGGAGAGGAGGTTAAGGGGGGAATGGAGGTTCAGAAAGACCTTGATAAGGAGCTGATAAGGCCTCAGCTGGAAGTATTGTGTCCAGTTCTGGGCACCACAATTCAGGAAAGATATGCAGAAATTGGAGAAAGTCCAGAGGAGAGCAGCAAAAATGATTAAAGGCCTAGAAAACATGACCTACAAGGAAATATAGAAAAAAACAGGGTTGTTTAGTCTGGAAAAGAGAAGACCAAAGGGGACTTGATAACAGTTTTCAAGTACGTAAAAGGTTGTTATAAGGCAGAGGGTGATAAATTGTTCTCCTTATCCACTGAGTACAGCACAAGAAGTTATAGGCTTAAATTGCAGCAAGGGAGATTTAGCTTAGACATTAGCAAAAACTTTCTAACTATAAGAGTGTTAAGCATGGAACCAAATTACCCAGGATGGTTGTGGAATCTTGGTCATAGGAGGTTTTTGAGAACAGTTTAGACAAATACATGTCAGGGATGGTCATAGTCCTGCTTCAGTGCAGGGGACTGGACTAGATGAGCTGTCATATTTCTGTGATTGTAGAATGGGGGCTGTCCTAAGCTGTGGGCATTTGTTGGACATTTAAGGGGGGATGGTAGAATGAAGGTTTGGGGAAGAGAGGTGGGGATGTTTAGGGAAATGAGGGATTTGCAAAGAAGGAAGAAAAGAAACTGGGAACATGAAGGAAGAATGTGGGTCTTAGAAGAGATTAGGGACACTAATGTATTTGGCAGGCAGGTAGAAGTGAGTGACATGAAAGAAGAGGGAGATTGATGGGGGATTTGAAAGTTCAGAACATCATCCAAAGACTGGTGTTAGCAAAGGGTCAAAACACACCAGGACTTTTATGGTTCTGCTGCCTGGATAGCAGAGAGCACGTTGCGCAGTTCTGTATTCTCTGAACTATGAAGTATGGCAGGGATGTTTTTGCTCACCCAAGCACAGCAAGGGATCTACCCACTGGAGCACTGAGAAGCCTAGAGGTGGTGAAATAGGGAACCTAGCACCAAGTGCTGAGGCTATCAATCATCTTCAGGATCTTGGGAGGAAGTGTGTACTGCTGGAACCCTTATTGTGATGGGGCCTCATGTTAAAGGGGGGAAAGTGTCTTTTTTTTCTGCACCAACCTTGTAGGCACACATACTCCACTGCTTTGAGAAAGATGATCTGATCTGGGCCCTGTTAGCGACCTCTCACTTGTTACACTAGTTATTTCATTCAAGGGTTGTTCGCTGTGTCATATTTTTGGCTGTTTTCAGAGAATTCGTGATAACAGTAAACACTGCAACATTTTAGCATTTTTTTTAAAGAGGCTAATCACACAACTTTTACCCTTTCTTCTTATTCTGTTGTTTTTTTGCTCAGTCCCTTCCTTGTTGATCTGGGAAAAACCCCTTTTCAGATGTAGAGGGCCCTGAATGTAGAATGTGTGTGTTTCTGCGAGGGGTGGGGCGGGGAGGGACGATATCTGTAGCCCTGTACACTATGAAGCATGGCAGGGACTTTGCCCCCACAGGATAGCATTGTGAATGGTGCTAGAGCATCCAGCACCTGGGCCCACCAGACATGTTCCAATGTGTGTGCATGCACATGTCTCTGAAGGGAAAAGGTGTAACTAGCTATGGGGCCTACTACCACCTTGTGCTGCCCACAGCAGGGGTGCAGGAACAATTTTTATAGTGGGGGTGCTGAGAACCATTGAACCAAACTGTAAACCCTGTATATAATAGAAACCACTTGGAGCCAGGTGGTGCAACAGCACCCCTAGTTCCAGCACCTGTGGCCCACAGTGACTCCACTGCTGTTCCATGGCCTAGTAGGGAGAATTCCTCCCCCACTGGGACCCCTGCAGATCTCCCCTACATATGGCTCATGTACTAGGATTGAGGATTTGGCCCTTACTGTTGACAAGTGCAGCTACCTTGGATCTCCCTGTATCATAGGTGATGATTAATTACTCCCCCTCCCATCGCAGGTGGACAAGGTGTGGGCAGGCAGGGGCTGGGAGGGGACAGAGCCTTGGCTCTACTCCCCAACATGCAGGCCAGCACAGCTGAGCTGGCACCAAAGAGACAATACACTGTGCCCAGGAAAGGGCTGGTGTAACTTACACCTTCTAAAGAAGATCCAGGGATCAGAGTGGGACTCTCACAGTTTCATCTCTGCTTTGGTCTTGGGGCTATCTGCTTTGCCTTTCTCACGGAAGAGAGCAAGGTGCCAGTCTAGCCCAATGTCTCCTCCTTATTTAATTGGCCATCCTCTTTTTACATAATGTTTGGAATGGGTTTGTGAATCACATTGATAAACAATACACGTGAGTTTCATTACTTAATGTCTGCAAAATACTCTGGGATCCTGGGATGAAAGATTCTGTCTAAGTGCATGATAGTCTCAGAGACTCATACTTCAGTATTCAGAACTGAGCTGGCATTCATAGAAGATTAGAGTTGGAAGAGACCTCAGGAGGTCATCTAGTCCAACCCCCTGCTCAAAGCAGGACCAACACCGACTAAATCATCCCAGCCAAGGCTTTGTCAAGCCGGGCCTTAAAAACCTCTAAGGATGGAGATTCCATCACCTCCCTAGATAACCCATTCCAGTGCTTCACCACCCTCCTAGTGAAATGGTGTTTCCTAATATCCAACTTAGACCTCCCCCACCGCAACTTGAGACCATTGCTCCTTGTTCTGTCATCTGCCACCTCTGAGAACAGCTGAATTATATTCTCTTTGGAACCCCACTTCAGGTAGTTGAAGGCTGTTATCAAATCCCCCCTCATTCTTCTCTTCTGCAGACTAAACTATTGCTTTCTTGCAATATCATATCTCAGAGGCATAGTGTGAATTTATATACACGATGGAGCAAACCCCAATATCCTTACTCAGCCTTTGCTCAAGAACAATTGCATCATTTGAGAGTTTGCCTGGGAAACTAAATAGAAACTTATGGCCTTATCCAAAGCTCATTGAAGCTCATGGAAAAATCCACATTGATGTCATTGGGCTTTGGATTCAAACCCTTAGGTCCTGTTTCAGGAAAGAATCCCTATTCAGGAAAGCAGTGAAGTACATGTTTAAATTAAGCATGTGCCTAAATCCTAAATTGAAGTCAATGGGAAAGTGTGTGCTTAAAGTTGAGTGCTTTTTTGAATGAGGGCCTCAATGAGGAAAGCAGGCTTTGTCCTAATATGAATAATAAAATAGGATCTCAAGTCACTTCACAAAACAGTAAATGTTATATTTAAAGATTAAATACATACTTCAATATCTGCAGTGCATCCTGATTATCCTGCTCTCTACAAATCTGCACCTTTTCTAATTCAAACCAAAACCAATCATCTTACCTCACATCTCAGCAGCAATGTAAGAGCAAATGCTGTAGTGAGCCCTCAAAGCAGTAAGGTATCTTTACGTTCACAGGATTTAATGCAGCATATTAGTACATGATAGTGAATTAGAGCTCAATGGCAATTGCTAGAATTGACCGAAGAGGTGCACTATTACCCGCTGTCACTGCTTCCTTGTTGAATATTTCCATCCAGAAGCCCACTCAGCCTTGTAGAATGTGGATTGCGGGTGTGGTTCCACTGCACAAGGTGTATGGGGCCTGAAGGCAGGAGAGCTATGCAGGATCCTCCTGGCTTTGGATTCATTCATTTTCCCACAGGGCCATACTCACTATTGTTCGTTCGGTAGCAGGAGTTCATGCAGCTGTTCTCAAAGTCTATTTGAATAGGCTTTTTCTAGTTAAAATTTAAGATTTAAATGCTTTAGAAACAGCCACAGAGACTTCTCCCTTAAAGACATTCAAGGTGGCTGTCATTTTTGCTGCCATGAAACAGATTCGGATATACAGAAGGCTACAAAACTCTGTGGAGTCTCAATTCTGCCCAACACTGCCATTAACAAGCTTGAATTCCTGGCCCTTTGAAGTTAAGGGGAATTTTGCTGCTGACTTCAACAGGCCAGGATTTCACTCCCAGAATGGAAAATAATATTTGTCCTTAGCCTTAATTATTTGACGGTCAATAAACTAGTTGATTCTTAACCTGACCAGTTAATACAGGGCCATAAACTGCAAATTTAGTCATGTGCATAAGTGCTTCTGGTATCTGGCCCCTAATGAGTGTTTATACAGCCAGAATCTCTACTGGTCACCCAGATACCAGATGTCTCCTTCCACTATGAATACTATGAAAGCCCTATTGTGTGTATCTTGGTAGCTTATTTTTCTTGCCGCTTTATTACTTTTCCTAATGTAATATGAAAGCTATAAGCGACAAGAATAGGTCCATTTTTTTGAAACATGGGAATTGTCTGTCATTTAAAGACTGGGAAACTAAGTAAGCCAAAGACTACATTTAATGACTTCTTCATTGTTTACTAGTACAGTACATTGAATACAGAGCTAAAGCAATTTCAAACTACTCCATTTTGTTTGTCATATTTTGCTTTTTACTCTTATTGTGTAGATAGTGCCTAAAATGTGCTAGGTGTTTTCCAAATGCAGAGGAACACACAATCCTCTCTTTAAAAGGTAGA